GTTGCACCTTAGCTTTGGCTTTCCTAGGAAAAGCTAGTTAATGGGAGAATGTCCCAGAATCTGAGTAGTAAAACACGCCATCCCCTTAGTTTTGTAAATAGGACCAGAGGATGCCATGGCCCATCATTCCACTTTCTAAATATTATCAGTGTGAGCTTTATGCAGTAGTAAGTACTGACTCAACATCCACAGAGAACTCAATTTTGTGACTGCCACATCTATCTGGAGTAAATCAGTTTCCTGTAAAAATCGTGTTGACATTGTATTCTGAGAACTTCCTCAGGAATATAGGTCACATTTCCAGTGTTGTTCATTTAAAACTATTGGTGGGGTCAGGGAGTGGGAAATGGACTATTAATTTAAGATAATCCTTTTATTTTTATTTAAATTACTATTCTTGACAGTACATTTCATTTAAATAACTAATCAGCTACTCTTTTTCCCAGAGACCTATTTTCATTTTAAGAAGTGACGATACTGCACTGTTTAGGTTTGGTGGTCTGCCATATGTCGATTGTAAACAGGTACATTTTATTCCTTCACAGAAGGGCTTTCCAAACACAACCTATGGAAGAGACAAAAAATGGTTAGCATGGACTTATTAATAGTGAATACAGGCCCATTGATAAAGCTAACCTAAGAAACACATCATTGCAGCAAACCCAGACCTTAGAGCTTGTGGGTCCAGTGGATCAGTTTTTCTCGTCAGATAAAAGAATGAAGTAGTGGTAGTGGTGATAAAATGCACCTTTTTGTCTTCCCTTGGAAGTAACTGGTAGCTCCAATTGTTGAAGTTGTCTTGAATCTATCTACTCAATGTAATAAATTTCGTCCTTTCATCTTGAATGATGAGTAGCACCTTAATCACAAATTACACAAACGGGCACCATTTCTTTATGGTACTTGACTTCAATTCCTTTTCCTTTTGCCACCCTAGGCTTATTGACATCCATGGCTCATGATTTTTTGTTTCTTTCAAATGCAAAGAAAGCTGTGGGATGTGACCCTTTGAGAAGAACTCAGCCTCATTGCATATCAGAAGAAAAGTATGTTCACCTCTAAGAATTGAGGGGCACAGACAATAAAGTGAGTTCCTTAATTTATTTATTAGATATCAGAACAATCATCCCCTTCCAGCTCCTCTCCTAGTTTATAAGAATGTTTTTCAGAACTAAGAGGGCTTCATTTGAATATTCTTTCCTAGTGAAGGGAGGTGATTGTTTTTCTCCTTCCTTATCTTTCTCCTCCCCTAAATCTAGTGTTTCTTTCCACTGATTTTGACTAGCTCTACCTCAGAAATTCTTGTCAGAGAAGTAGGCTGACACCTTGTCAGTGCTAGTCTGTGTATAGTACTGCAACAAGTGCTAAGTGACCATATCAGAAGAACAATATGCCTTATGATTTATTATAGGAAAGGTGGAGAAACTCTCTTCTATTTAAAGCTAATTTTTGCACCTGAGCTTTGATGCCTACATTTGTTCACCTTTCTAGAAACCCAAACATCAATTATGCCTATTTTCTCCTGGTTACTCAATTAAATCCTTAACAATATCTTTTCTCAACATCATTTCAACATGTTCTAATATCAGCCAGTTTAATCCAAATAAGGCAAAACACATCCCACTTTTGACCTATACTTCCTTTATTGCCTTATCTTTTTTTCCCCCACCTATACAAACTTACTTTGCACTTCTACTTCAAGTTCCTCACCTCTGCTTTATTCCAGCCTCTGCTACTACTTCCCCAATTGTGGATAAGATTATTGAAGCCTTCCCATATCGCTAAATTTACCAAGACATTTTTTCCTGTTCTCATCTCACTTACTGAGAAACTACTGATCTTAGTAAGAACTTGACATTGTTAAGTGCTCCCTATTTCCTTCCAGAAACACTGTTGCCTTTCCTTAACTTGCTCTTGACTCTCCTGCTGCTGCTCCTTTCTTTCTTTGCAAGTTCATTTTACTCTACAGGGCATTCAATGTTGTGGTACCTCAAGACTTCTTTCTATGTCTTTTCTCCGTCTCACTCTAAACTTGGTCCAAGCAATCATGTCCAAACCAGCAGCTTCATTTATACTGACAACACCCAAATCAGTATTTCTCCACCTTAACACTAAGTGGGGTTGATTTGCATCCTCTCTTTCTCTCTTTATATATATATATATATAAATAAATATATATATGTATGTATATATAAAAATCTAATAATAATCTATACATAATCTGAATTTTACATATATATATAATTTCTAAACTTTCCTAGGGATGAAAAGTCATCTCTATCCATCCCTCCCAACTCCAAGTAACAATAGCAGAAAACACCACCCCTCTCTCTAACCTAGCCTCAAATTCTATTGATTCTAATTCATATATATATATATCATCTTTTTTCCATTGTTACCACCCTATTCAAAAAGTCTCTCAATGTAATTTTTTTGTCCAAGATAGCTCTTCTATTTCCATAATAAAAATTTAGTTCTAAAGACTACTGCCAGTTAGTTATTTGGGTTTAAAATAGTATTTACTAACACAAACTTTAAAACCTGGTGTTCCACTAGTCATTCATTTTGATTTACAAACTTTCTAGTCTCTGCATATAATCTAGACATAAACAAATGTGAACATCATTTTGCTATTTGGTCTGTAAGCCTATTAGTTTACATTCTTGAATGCACAGGGCACAACACAGTGCCTGAAACACAAAAAGCACCTGATATATTTATTAGATGAATGAATAATGATTTGAAGTTAATTTTTAGAAGATTTTATTTATTTTTATAAGCCAGGCGGTGAAAGACAAATACCATATGATCTCACCTTTAACATGAGCCTAATCAACAAAATGAACAAGCAAGCAAAATATAACCAGACACTGAAATTTAGAACAGGCTGACAGTGACCAGAAGGGAGAAGGAAGGGGATTATAGGGGCAAAGGGTGAAGGGTTTGCAGGAACAATTATAAAGGACACATGGACAACAAGGGGGCGGGGTGGAAACAGGGGCAGGAGGTGGGGAGGGCTGGGGTGTTGGTGAGTGGGGGGAAGCAGAAAACTGTACTTGAAAAACTCAAAAAATGTTTAAAAAAATGAAAGAAACCAATCTTTTAAATATAAAAGATTTTATTTATCTTTAGAGCAAGGAGAAGGGAGGGAGAAAGAAAGGGAAAGAAACATCGACTGACTGCCTTTCAGCTACCCCCAATCTACAGGCTGGGTTTTGGGACCTGGCCTGCAACGCAGGCATGCGCCCTGACAGGGAATCCAACCAGCAACCCCTTGGTTTAATGGAGGTTACCCAACCCACTGAGCCACACCAGTCAGTGCCAAAGCTAGTTTCTTTTCTCCCTTAAATTTTCCCAATTTTCTGTAAGTAAAAATCAAAGTTGTCCACTTTTTCCTTTTTTGAACTTTTTATTTTTTAAAGATTTAATTTACTTATTTTAGACAGAGGGGAAGGAAGAGGCAGAAACATCAGTGTGTGGTTGCCTCTCGAGGGCCCCCTACTGGGGATTTGACCTGGCTGGCAATCCAGGCACGTGTCCTGACTGGAAATTGAACCAGTGACCCTTTGATTCCACAGTCGAGAAATCCACTGAGCCACACCAGCCAGGGCTAAAGTTCTCCCCTTTTTTAACTTTGTATGGTGACAGTTACTAGATTCTATCATGGTGATCACATTGTAGGTATATAAATGTTCAATCACCTGAAACTAATATAAAATTGTCAACTACACATTTAGAAAGTTTTCAATTTAAATACTTAGGTGTTACTTCTGAATATACTGTGTAAATTTTCATTGTATGTATTTAGATTGCCAAGCTGGAGTTACATATTATGGACTATGACTTCAGCTATTAAAAAAATGAAGGCAAGAGTAAATACGGGCAGAATCCCTAACACGTCCACAAATCGTGATTTATAGTGATAATGTTAGGAAGGGATAACCCATTTTCCTTCTTAAAAATAGAGATTTAAGAAAAAAATCTCTAGGATTTCAAATTTTGCAGATAAGTCCCCTTCTCTCTGATAGTCCAGGTCCACAGAGTCAAGTCAATCCAATATTTTCCTGTTCTTTGCTTTTTTTTTTTTTTTTGTGGGGAGTTTTGGGGGGAATTCCGAGCTTTCTGTTCCCTAAAAAGTAGGCCAGAGTAAACAACTTAAACACAATAATCTTGAATACTTCAAAACAACTAATTTGAATATTATGTGTTTTTGTTTGTTTCTTTTTTAGTCCTTACCAGTTTAAGGCGAATACTGAAAGGGTGATTGCTGTGATTTTGGGGGTTTGCTTTAAGAGAGCCCAGCAAAGAAAAAATGTTTGGGCGGTGGTGGGGGGATAGATAAAACAAAATTTTTAAAGTGTTGGCATTTTCTGAAATTTTATAACTTCATTATGCTTTTCTCTGAGATTTTCCAAAATAAAAAGTTCAAAATTTTAGCTTTTTCTACTTTTTACTCTCAGAACTCCCTTTTACCTATTAATGTGAGAGGCTCCTGGCCACAGAAAGAAAAATGCACAATCAGCTCTTTTTCAAACCTCAGCCTGTCCACCTGTGAATACACTAACTTATTAAAGAAGGCTTTATCTTTGTTATATGAATGTATAATCATTATATAAATATCTGCTATTTTAAAAGAAAGTTGGCCTTCCACATATAGCTCAAGTTTAGGGGCTCCTAAACCTTCATTTACCCCAACCTTTCTTTACAAGCAGAGTATTACAATTCCTTCCAGAAGCTGCCCTTTTTGCCTCTCACGTCACGCGTTTCTCAGGGGTACAACACCGGCGTCCCTAGACCGGCGTTCCATGTCTGGGCTGTCTCCTAAACAGGAAGACTTTCACCTTGCCAACTCGGGACTTAATTTTCAACTAGTAGAAGGGCCATGTTGCCTGGGCCCCGCCGCGCCCCCAGCGGCGGCAGGCAGCTCCGCCTCGAAGGCGGAGACCGGGCGGAGCTGCGCTCTCTCCCCCACCTCCTCCCAACACTGAGCTGCCCGGATGCCGGCGGCGCATGTGCCTGGCGCCCCTCCCCGGCCCTGGATTCCACTTCCCCTCCGCTCGCGCTGCAGCCGCAGCCGCCTACAGGCCCCGCGCCGCCTCCGGAGTCCATGGCCGGGACGCGCTGGGTGCTCGGGGCGCTGCTCCGGGGCTGCGGTTGCAACTGCAGTAGCTGCCGGCGCACCGGCGCCGCCTGCCTGCCCTTTTACTCGGCCGCCGGCTCTTTCCCTTCGGAAGTCTCCGGCCGTCGCCGGCTGCTGCTGTTGCTCGGGGCCGCCGCGGCCGCCGCCTCACGGACGCGGGGCCTCCACACCGGGCCTGTGCCCACCGGGAGACTGGCGGGGCTTCCCCCTGCGGTCGCCTCCGCCGCCGCCACGGCAGCCGCCTCTTACCCGGCCTTGCGCGCCCCTCTGCTGCCGCAGTCCTTGGCTGCGGCCGCGGGCCCGGCGCGGGGTTACAGCCAGGTACGTGGGCGCCGCGAAGGGCGGCGCGCTCGCGTCTCCGCGCTCCTCCTCGTGCGCTTCGCGTGCGCGACCGGGGATCCGCGGCTCGCGCCGGACACCCGCCCCCGGCTTGCCCAGTCCTCCTATTGGGCCTCAGAACAAGGGACGCTCTCCCGGGCTTCGGCTTTTCTCCTTGTTTTGTTCTCCTGTGAGTCTGGTCGGTTGTGGATTGTAAGTGTGGCTGGGGGTGAATGTTGAGGCCTTGTTTCCTGCGGCCCATGGTAGGTTTTATGAGGCTGTTGATGCCCTCGCCCTGCATCCCTGGCGCCCTCAGTCCTCAGGTTGTGAAGTTGGGAGGCTGAGTCCACGAAGCTATGGGAGTGTTAGTGCAGCCACAGCATTAGGCCTGGGCAGCCCGCTTATGTGAAGGTTCACGCGCACAGTTGCGTGGGCTGGATTCGTGGAGAAGGAGGCTCGTCCCCAACGCTGCTCTGTCTACTGTCGCTAGGGAAGGCGGGCTGCCCCACATTACTGAAGGTCACCTCTGCACCTCCACTTTCCTTGACAGAAAGAAGGTCCTTTACGACCAAGGGTCGCCGCCGAAAGGATTGCGGACACTGACTGGGGGAGGGGAGGCGAGGAGAGGGGACGTCTAGGACACGATTTGGGGATCTAGGAGTGGGTTTACAGCGTTGTCTTTTTTGAAGTCAGCGTGTGCTTTAAGAACTCAGATTGCAACTGTTTTGTGCCTTACAGGAACCTTTCTGCTTGTTACATGACATCAGGGAAATGTCACTACACTTTTCGACTATTCTGCGTCTGATGCCTTGGGTTCATATTTATCTAAATTCACTTTGTGTTTCTCCTTGAACTTAGGCAAACTGGGAGTCTAATCAGCATGGCTGCTGTCTGCCAGTGGCTGAGCTAATTGATTTGAATCCTGGCCCAATACTTTCTGCTGCCCTTTTCCGTAAAAGCTTATGATGTTTATGGAATTCTGGGAAATTGGGGAATGTTGCCTCTATTAAAAAAACAAACCATCTCTATTAAGCCCTTGTGACTTAATAGAGTAAGCCCAGGCTACTCTCTTTACTTTTTTTTTCTTCTGTGAAATTGACTATAATATCTGTTGAGTCTTTACTAGTGTTATGCACTGTGCTGACATTTGTTACTGACGTCTTAAAATCTTCATGAAAATTATGGGAACATACAAAGGAGTGAAGTATCTCTCTTTAGCCCAGTAGAGTGCAAGTCATTTGTCTTAAAGTCTGAGTTGTCTTCCCATGTTAATTGTAGTGCTGGTTGCATTCTTATTAAAAATGTATTAGACCTCTGCTAGAGGTTTACGTTTAACATTGTTTCCATAGAATTAGACATGAATCTTCATGTGAACAGGGAGCGTACAAAGGAATCTCTTTCCTTAGCTCAGTAGAGTGCAAATCCTAAGACTTGAGTTGTCTTCCCAGTCATGTTATGGCACTTGTTGGAATCTGATTAAATTCCAATTTTTGCTTGGTTTTGTAAAATAGAGTTCTTTAGATATGTCTGAAGCTCCTGTTACCTCACATAACTAACTGCTCTTGCCTTTTTGTGATTTTTTTCCTATTCAGTTGTTCTCACATACTAGTTGACAGGTTAACCTTTCCAAGCACCCTGCTGTCTTGCTGATTTATCCACTTCTAAATGTCTTTCATTAACTCCCCTTTGCCTACCAGGTTAAGGAGACACACTGAGCTTAACACTCAAGACCCTCTGCTAAATGGTATCAATTCCTTTTGCCAGGTCATCTTCCTTGGCTCCTAATTGGACCCTACAGTTTAGCCAAAAGGGATTATTGCTGTATTGCAAATGGGCTTTTGTTCATATTGCTTCCTCTCCTCCCCTCTCAAACTGGAATGCCCTTTCCTTTATTTGTCACCGTTGGAAGTCTGTCCTTCCTTCAAGGTCTGTCTGATACCATGTCTTGATTCTTCTCTTAGTGCTCTGTTTTGAATTCATACAATATCTTGTATCATCCAGCACTTCAAGCATCTCATCTTGTATGCTTGTCTTAGTCAAGATCACAGGTGGCAAACACAAGGCCCACGGGCCTAATCTGGCCTTCCACCTTGTTCTGTGTGGTGGCAACACTAAGCTCTCACTTAACAGTTAAGGAGTGGTTACATTTATACAGTCCTAAAATTACATTCGGCCCTTTGAAGGCAACCTCAAGGCTGATGTAGCCCCTGGTGAAAATGAGTTTGACATCCTGGTCTAGATGGTAAACTTTTTGAGATAAGGGCCTAATACAGCACACATTAAGTAGGAGGCACTCACATATTTGTCAAATTGAAGGGACCACTCTTGTTCTGTCTTAGCAAAAGCATTATTCTTAAGTGTAATTGGGAACTGAAGAATTTCAAAACAAGTCCTGAATAAAATTTACATCTTGCTTTACATCAAGCAGGTATTAGGATATACCTGCTTGTTGCTTTAGGATGCACACTTTAAGCCAAAACAGGATGAGTTAGATTTGTGACGTGTATTTCTTGCCTCTGAGGTGGTAACTGTCTCCTGAGAATAACATTCAGAGCATTAGTTTGCAGAAGTAAACATTTTCTAAATAGGTTGTCAAAGAAATATTTTTATGTTTCTTTATTTCTTTTGGAAGGAATCTAAAAATACCTACCTGGAAGACCTTCCACCTCTCCCGGAGTATGAGGTGGCCCCATCCAAGTTAGGAGAGGAGGTGGATGATGTGTATCTCATTCGAGCTCAAGGATTGCCGTGGTCGTGCACTGTAGAAGATGTGCTTAGCTTTTTTTCAGGTATATTGTATGTATGTTTTAAATATGTAATTTTGTCTGAGTGGAAGATAGTCCCACAAAATCCAAGTTAAACTGTGCCGTAAACATCTTATTTGATGGTTTAGAATTGTCTCATCTGGCTGGTGTGTACCGAGTGACACTGGGTGTACCATTGGTGATACACACCAGTTTCAAGACTGGATGCAACAAAAAGTTTAGTGATAAGACAACAAAAAATTTAATGCTAAGACTAAAATTTAATAAAACCAGTTTTCTCTGAAGTTTTATTATGTAAAGATCAAAAGACAAACCTGTTAGTGGAAATATGTTAGTGGGAACATGGGTTAAGAGATCTTTCTGTAATACATACATTTAGCATACAAGATCACTTAGTGTTAAGTGACATAGTTCCCTTAGTGACATGTTTGGAAGGTTTACAAATCTGTGGTTGGTTTTTCGTTTCTGTATCTAACTGATTTTTAATTTTCCTTTTAAGAGAGTTTTAGAAGATCCTATCTTAAACATTAAAAAACGTGTGATGTGTACTTAAGTACCTTAACGTGCATTGCATTGTGTGGTCAAGCGTTTCATAAAGCCATTTACATCTTCTACCTGCTCCCTTTATAATAAAAGACGAATGAAGTATGAAGATGTGTTTTCTTAGTAGTAAAAAGGGGGAAAGGTTAAATTATCGTAGCAAAATTATTCTTCTAGGAGCTTTTGAGAGTTTTTCTGGTTATGATTGTAACAAAAGAAGACACTTATGCATAAAATGTAACCATAAGAGCATTGGGACATAATACATTTTTTTGTTGAGCCTAGCTTAAATTACCATTTAATGATCAGGAGATCACAAGCTTACGTGCAGTAAAGTTTGCTTATTCTTTTCACGTGGAATGTTTTAGAGATGACCCCACGTTGGCATTTGGATGGCTTCAGTGAGGGGGTTTGTAGAAGGAATATGGCAGGCGTTTTGGTTCTTGTTTTGTTATTGGAGGATTGCGTTCCAGTGACTTGTATAATTGAGTTAAAAGTTTGGTTTCTGGTTTTAATTGATTTTTACTCACATACTTTTAGACTGCAGAATTCGCAACGGTGAGAATGGAATACATTTCCTTTTAAATAGAGATGGGAAGCGAAGGGGTGATGCCTTAATTGAGATGGAGTCAGAGCAGGATGTACAGAAGGCCTTAGAAAAGCACCGCCTGTACATGGGGCAGCGGTATGTGGAAGGTACGTGATGTCACCTCGTGGGTTTTCAGGATCATTTTATTAGACTCGATACTTTCCAGGGCACTTTCATTTCATCCTTGGCAATCGTGAAGTAGTTAGATATTAGGAATACACCCTTTTACAGGGTGCAAAAAGGAACACAGAGATGGTCTCTGTTTTATCTATAAAATGAAGATGTTGGCTGAGTTTACCTCACAATTTGTGCTGTTTAAATGAGGAACTCCTGGCACATAGTAAATAGTCAATAAATGTCATTTGTTATTTTCTCCAAAGAAGTACATAAAGATGGAAAAATGCTAGTTTTTCAATTCTTGGATATCCCATCAAGTATGACTTTTTCAAGGCTTTGTTATGTAAATTCGACATACCTTTTGTGCTTTCGATTTGTAGTATATGAGATCAACAATGAAGATGTGGATGCCTTAATGAAGAGCCTGCAGGTCAAATCTTCGCCTTTGGTAAATGATGGTGTGGTTCGTTTGAGAGGACTGCCTTACAGTTGCAATGAGAAAGACATTGTCGACTTCTTTGCAGGTACTTTTCAGTTTTACATTTCCAGGGCCTGGTGCCTTTTCCTCCCCATTGTCTCCTTTATCTCACATAAACCTTTTCCTAGACAACTGCATGCAGTTATATTAGGTTCTTTTGGGGAGAACACTTCATTCGAATTTTCTGTCTTCATTGATTATATGACTGTTTTGACCTAGCACAGTGATCAAGATGTCAGATTGCTCCCTGGCTGGCGTAGCTCAGTGGATTGAGCGCGGGCTGCGAACCAAAGTGTCGCAGGTTTGATTCCCAGTCAGGGTACATGCCTGGGTTGCAGGCCATGACCCCCAGCAACTGCACATTGATGTTTCTCTCTCTCTCTCTTTCTCCTTCCCTTCCCTCTCTAAAAGTAAATAAGTAAAATCTTTAAAAAAAAAAGATGTCAGATTGCAAGATAGTTCATGTGGGTTTATTTTATTGTTGGAAGGAAAATATCCTCTCATAACAGTGTCCATATTAAGACAGTAGCAATTTACATGATTTAATAGCATTATTATTTCATTCTTAGCTGTAAAGCATGCATTGTTAATAGTGATGTTAGTCAAAATCTTTATTTCCCCTACTATATCATGGCAAAAAAAGAGAGACAGAGAATTGTGTTGTATATGAAATGCTGGGACCCTGACCATTCTGCAAATATAGATGTGTAGGTGTTACTGGTTTTGGGCCAGTTTTCTTTCAGTTAGGCATGTATCTGACTTTGGGATTGGTAGAGCAGCTCCCAAATTTTACTAAGAAAGTAAAAAAATTAGTATGTGAATGACTATTAATTTTAATGATGAAAAAAGATCCTGTTAGCAGCACTCATTTGTGATAATTTTTGGGTGTCCTAGGACTGAATATAGTAGACATTACTTTTGTGATGGACTATAGAGGGAGAAGAAAAACAGGAGAAGCCTATGTGCAGTTTGAAGAACCGGAAATGGCCAACCAAGCCCTATTGAAACACAGGGAAGAGATTGGTAACCGGTGAGTAAAGCAGATACTACTGATGCAGGACTGTCATTACTGGGTCATTTTGATGACTGCACTGTGACATGATGTTAAATGATCCAGACACAGAAAAGTAGAATAGTATGCTGAGTTTTCAAAAGCCTATTAACAAATTGTTGATGTGTTAATTTGCTGTATCTGTTATTTCAGTATGCATCTTTAAAATACTTTTTCTTACATGAGGTCAGTATTATCACATCTAACAAAATTAGCAACAATTTATTATCTAATGCTAGTCCATAGTCACATTTTTAAAATTATAACTAATATGTCATTATAGTTGGGTTTGTTTTTTTTTTGCACCAGAATCTAGACGTAGTCCACACTGTATTTGATTGTTATGTTTGCAGTTCTTTTAAATTAGAGCAGATCCCCTTCTTTATTTTTGTATTCCCTCCCCATTTAAAAAAATTTTTTTTATAAACAGGTGCACATACATTTTTTGAAAGATATTATTTATTTATTTTCAGAGAGAGGGGAAGGGAGAAAGAGAGAGAAGCATCAGTGTGTGGTTGCCCCTCATGCACGCCCTACTGGGGATCTGGCCTGCAACCCAGGCATGTGCCCTGACTGGGAATTGAATTGGTGACCCTTTGGTTCGCAGGCTGGTGCTCAGTCCACTGAGCCACACCAGCCAGGGCCCCTCCCCGATTTTAAATGTTGATTTTTTGAAGAAATTGGGTCCATTGTCCTACACGCCATCTCACGTACAATTTTTGTCTTATTGCTTCCTCATAGTGTCACTTAACATGTTCCTTTGTATCCTGTATTATTCCCTAACAACTGGAAGTTAGGGCTAAAGTCTTGAATTGGTTCAAGTTAACATTTGATGTGGACATTCTGTCAGGGCTGTCCAACCCATGGGCCACATGCGGACCAGGATGGCTGTGAATATGGCCCAACATGAAATCATAAATTTACTTAAAACCTTTTTTACTTTTTTCACTCATCAGTTTTCATTAGTGTTTGTGTATTTAGTGTATGGCCCAAGACAATTCTTCTTCCATTGTGGCAAAGAAACCAGAAACGCCAAAAGTTTGGACACCCCTGTGAGATGATTCAGTGTGCTGTATATTGTATCATCTTAGGATGCAAATAGTGATGGGTGGTTTCTTTTGTGTTTTGGCTTTAATTTTGGAGGAGTTCTCAAAAGTCAGATTTTAAATCACTTTTTTGTTGCTTTCTGGCATTTCACTTGACTCCTTTGAAATTAAAAAAAAAAAAAAGCCATTCCACAGCCATTGTCAGAATTACTTATAGAATTGGTTCACAGGTCTTTATTCAATTTTAAGTGAAAAAGTGTATGCAGAGCATTCCCTCCCACCCCCCATTTTCTTTCACCATTCTTCATATTATATGTATCTTGGAAAAACACATCAGAGTTATTTTATGTGAGAATGTTAAGGCAGTGTAGAAATCTCTTTAATAAATTAAAAATGCTGCCCATCTAATCTTTATAGGTCTGTAAATAGAAATGCTTTTTACAATTCAAACTTAATAACCTGATTTGGAAAAGCAGTGTTGAGAAAGGAAAACTGGATCCAGAAGCTTGGATTTAATAGACAGACTCCCTGCCAGGCAGGTCAGAATTGACATTTAGTTCATGAATTCTCAATGGACTCTTAGCGAAGTTCTGGAGGAAGTTAGCTCCTCATACACTGTGACTTTTAATATCTCATACAGATACGATTAATATTCACAGAATTGAATTTTAGGGCTTCAGTATAAAACCCTTACCAGATTAATTCTTTGCATACACACAATTACCCTTAGTGTAGTTTTTCTCATGAAGCAAATAAGGTAGAAAATGTTAAAATGTATATGAAGAAAACTGATCTTCAGGGCGATTAAATCAGTGGTCTGTTCTTTCAAGAGTACTCCCTGCCGCTACCCCTCCCCCCTCCCCCCCCCCCCCACATACCTATTATCTTGGGGCTCTTGTGTTTCATTAAGCTGTTGGAAATACTATATATGCATGTTTTATTGTAAAGAGTCCAATGTAAGGTAATTTTGTACCATTTGTGCCTGTTCTCTTGCTTTGACATAGATACATAGAGATATTTCCAAGCAGAAGGAATGAAGTTCGAACATATGTCGGTTCTCATAAGGGAAAGAAAATGGCATCTCCTTCTGCTAAGTATATAACTGAGCCAGAAGTGGTCTTTGAAGAACACGAAGTAAGTGAGGATGTTCGACCTATGACAGCTTTTGAAAGTGACAAGGAAATAGGTAAGGACCTGCCATTTGTTGAGACTTAATTGGGTCTGTGTCATATGTTTTGATATTTGTTAAAAAATTTTTTTTACCATGTTGTGTGAAATTGTAAGACTATCAGACATGGAAATTGAGTTGAGTGTAGTATGCACTTTGAATATATGTAGAAGGGCTTAATTATTTCATAAGATTTTTAAATGTAATAATCTTTGTAGATTCTATATCAGCTAGATGGCATAAATATAACAAAAAGAAGTAAAATATCAATAGACTAAGGAGGGAAAACACTGGATAGAGAGCAGTAATGTTGACTGAAGTAAGGAGTTTTGTTTACCTCTTTATTTAAGTCATTCCTTTGACTCCTAACCCAAAGCAGCATTTAGAATCTTTGAAGTTTGGTAAATCCTTTTTAAATCAGTGCCCTGGGATTATCCTGTTAACTTTTCCTTCCTTTTTTCCTCCTTTCTTTCAACTATAACCCAGAAAGTTACTCTTTCCTTTATTTTTTTCACTAATAACCATTTTTTCCTCCTCCCTGTTGTCACAGAAAGAGATGTTCTTTTATAATCTGGTAATGGGTCGAGGCACCACATTCTTACTGGTGTTGAGGTGATATTTGTAAAGTGTCAGGAATCTCTATCATTTTGGCTTTTAAAATTAAAGTCCTTTGTACTGGTTCAAGAGGAATTGAGGATTTTGACAGAAAGGTCATACCTGATTGTAATCTCTTAATAACTCTTGAAGCTTTTATGCTCTTGACCGTGCTGCTTGTTCCACCTCCCAGAGCTGCCAAAGGAGATGTCAGAGAAGCTCCCGGAGGCTGTTGATTTTGGAACCACGTCCTCGCTACACTGTGTGCACATGAGAGGATTGCCTTTCCAAGCCAACGCCCAAGACATTATAAACGTGTGTGGCCGTAAGATTCCAGTCTCAATAGGTTTGAATGAAAGTTCTAAAATCAAACTTCGGTTAGTTTCAGGGAGGTAGCGAAGAAAGTGCAGTATTTCTGGAGTATATATGGACAGTAAGGTGGCTTCACCACAGTTGCACAGACTCTTTCATTTTCTTTACCTAAGAAGTATGGATGTTATTAGGGTGTTTTTTTTTTTTAAGATATTTATTTATTTATTTTTAGAAAGAGGGGAAGGGAAGGAGAAAGAGAGAGAGAAACATCACTGTGGTTGCCTTTCACATGCTTCCCCATCAGGGACACCGACCGCCACCCAGGCATGTGCCCTGACTGGGAATCCAGCTGGCCACCATTTGGTTTGCAGGCCTGTGCTCAGTCCACTGAGTCACACTAGCCAGGACTGGTGTTATTAGGTTTTAAGGTGAAATGTATAGTGGATAAGATTTTATAGATGCAAAATAGTATGATACAGGTTTTTATTCAAAGAAAGTTTGGTTTTTCTATAAAATGGTTCAACACGGTCAGCTTTGAGCTTAGGAAACTGAACCCCAGGGGGATTTGCCACAGAGTGGTTACACACCAGACAAAATTCAGGACTCTTAAATGCTGGGAGTTCTCATTAGACCATGTGGCCATCTTGCATTATGATTCCATAATGTTTGAGAAAAAGAACTTAAAAAATAAATATATTTTTTAATAGATACTGTATGCAATGAAAAGATAAAGCAACAAAGCCCTTATTGACTTGAACTTGAGGGCAAACTTAAGTTAGATCCAAACCTAGAGTCTTCAGTTAGCAGTGGGGCCTCAGTTGTCTTCATTATTTCAAAAAGCCTAATAGGTACCCAATCTTTACCTAAATGAAGGTTGTGCAGTCTGGTTAAAGCATTGCATTTTGTTGCTTTGGTTTGGAACAATAACCACTCAGGTGGTAGCTCTGTTTATGTAGTGCTGATAAGGAACTGGGGATCAGGTATATGTCTGCTGAAAAAATGGTAAAAATGAATTATTAAGAAATAAAATATATTTGATGGACAGAGAAGAGAGTCTTTAGAAACAGGAACGATGGGTGTGGGAGGAATAATAAAAGTGGTCTTTGTTGGTATAATAAATGTTGAGAACTATTTGTTGTGTAGTATTCTATTTATAGTTTAAGTTCTCTGGGAATGGATGTTTGAAATGAAGGTTGAGTTCTAAGAAAATCAGTAAAGTGGGAGAGGTGGTAGATGTCTACTTTGTTGCTTAAAGAGATTTCCTAAAAACAAATTAATCAAAGTGTAGTCTGAAAGAAAAGTGCAGAACCATTAGGCTTACAGAAATTGGGCTTAGTACCATTGTGTTCTTTTTGGCTTCCTTTGTTTAGTTTTTTGCTCCACTGAAGCCTGTTAGAATCACCATGGAATACAGTTCCAGTGGGAAGGCCACCGGAGAAGCTGATGTGCACTTCGATACCCACGAAGATGCTGTCGCAGCGATGCTCAAGGATCGGTCCCACGTTCGTGAGTGCTGCCCATCGTTTTTGTCGTCATTTCTGATGGATGTCTTCACTCACAAATGCTTTGTTCTGTTTTGGGTTTTTGCCTATCAGTTCTACTAAATTAAATGTAAAAAGGATGAAACATTATGTTATGATGAAAAGCATTTGTCTATTGATTATCCTGAATATTTCTGTCTGTAGAGTTAGTTAGGATTTTTAAATTTTGTTTTTGACTTTACTTTAGAAAGAAATGGGGAAAAGATTTGAGTTTCTGTCTGAACTACAAGAAAAATGGCTGTAGTATTATTTCTACCTTTTCAGCTTTTTGAAATGAAACTTTTTCTTTGTCATTCTCAGAACATAGGTATATTGAATTGTTCCTGAATTCATGTCCAAAGGGAAAATAAGACTTCCAGGGACTCCAGATAAGAAGGTAAATTTAAGACATAAAATTGTAGAAATTATTTTCTATTGGTAAATTAATTATTAACTCACAAATTTGTAATATGTTGAGACCATTCTTTTTAATAAAGATGAAACTAGTCATGATAATTGAAGCATCAATATAGGGAATGATATTCTCCTGGGAAGTAATTCATTATGATAGTATAGTGGCTTTGAGTATTTTCCCCATGTACAGTCTTTTTGCATCTTTCTCAACATTTGTCATTCTGTGGGCCTGAAAAGAATTTTTTACCTTTAGTAACTATAAATCATAATACACTGGATGTGCTTGCATTCATTTTTCTTTCTATACAATTTTAATTTCCTCAGTTCTAAGATATTTTTAAGATGTGTAAAATGATACATTCAAAACCAGGGCTGGTCAGTGATATATACATTTGGTGTATCACTGTTTCTGTTCCTGAAATGGTGTTATAAAAATGGTTGTACTAGGAAGCAGTATGTGATTTCATAGAGTTAACGTGGCTGTGACAAATCTATGAAATACAGTGTCTTGATGTCTTTTCCTTTGACCAAATGTTATGTGGTGCCTTTTTTTTACCCTATAAAACCTTTTAATGTATTTCATTGTAACCATTTTCCTCCATATAGTTCCTACATGGTTCCTTGCCTTCCTTTGAGACACTTAACTATAATGATTTCTTGAAAACACGTGGGGAATTTCTTTGTAATGGTTGTCATGGGCTGTTTCTGGACCTAAAGCCCCACAATCTCATGATATTAAATATTTACATGTAGCTAAAATCTGTGTAAAATATATTCTGTGCTCAACTTAAAAAATCCTCTATCTTCATACCAGGCTACAAATATTAATGCCTAACTAATTTTCTTTACCTCAACTTAATGGATTTGTCAGATAAATTTCATGAAATTAGATAGAAAAAAAATATTGACTTTATTTTAAATGGAATAGCAATGTGTTTAACGCTTTTTCATGTTTAGTAAATTTGCAATACTCTCTTTTATTTTCAGGATGAAGCAAGAAGCATTTCATCTGCACGTCTCTCTTGGATGTGGGATATAGAGTTCCAGTTTTTTAGCAGCAACTGCTTGAGAAGGGATTTTAGGGTTTGGGGTTAATTGCTTACGAGAAAAATGCCATAGTGGACTGTTCAGAAAGAAAAAGGGAAGATTCAGTTTGGGATTAAATAAACCACAAATTTTCATATTGTTTAAACTGTCCAGGATAGGATCTGATTTAAAAATCTGGTCTTTATTTCATGATTAAATATTTTGTTTTCATAGAGTATTCCTATGTGAAGACGGCATATTTTTATTCAGCACTGTCTTTTAAAATCTTTCCCCTATTTTAAAAATGATTTGTTTGAGGGCTGTGATATAAAACTTCCTATGGAATAAAATACTGATTTATTTTAACTAAATACTCACCAAAGCGAGGAAAGGTTTCAGACCTTTGAACCTTTATGGTTTGGCAGAGTAGCTATAATTTTAGGTGTCTTTGATGACTTAGGGGTAGGAATTATAAAAAACCATTCAAAGCAAAAAAAATAAATACCACAGATCAGTGTGTGTCCCGACAACGGTTTGGCCGTTTCACATCTTTCGCAGTGTTTTGCCTTTCTAGCCTGTGCTGCTGGCATTTGACATTAGTGCCTGTGTACTTCAGGAGGGAGTTCTAGTCTCAACCTAGAAGCTGTCTGAACACATCCCCCCACGCCCCCACCCGTTTCTTTGGTTTTGGGTAAACATTAGGGGTGTTAGTCTCAAAGCTGTGAAGTGATGTGTCAAAACAGTCCCTACTGGTAAGGACATTGATGGCTTCACTTGAATTTAAACCAGCGCTAGATAGGAAACCATCCAAGTCCCCTCCTTCGCTTTTCAGTGGGGTCGCACATCCCATATTGTAGAACAAGTAGGGGTGCCTTGCTTAAATAAAAATAGCTTTTAATGTATAATTGTGTGGAGGGTTTATGGATAAAGCTGTACTTCTGTCACATAGTGGCAGTATCTTCTGCTTTAATATTAAACAGCTTATTTAAATATTGGATCAAAATGGCTGGCTTCAAAATGTAGTCTTTAATAAACTAATTTTATGTGCACCTGTGTAGGAGAATCAAAGTCCTGTATACTTTCTTTGCCTTGTTCCTGTTCTCAGGGTGACGACTGCTACATAGTTACCAGGAGTTGCAATTCTAGTTCTCCACATGAAATTTGTCCACATTTCTGAGAGAAGATACCTGGAGGAGAGATTGTGTCTTCTCTCAATACATAACCATCTTTGATGACCAGCTAAGATACAAAACCACTGTACTGTAAATAGTCAATAAATGAAGGCTTGGTTCAGGCTGCAGATTACCTAAGAGTATTTATTTTGGAGTGTGTGGATAAACCAAATATATTTTTGTTACATCAAGTCCTGGCATGTTATAAGGAGACATGATTAATTTTCATTTGCATTTGCCATCCTATAAGAACATGACTTAAGCAGCTTAAGAGCTTCAGTGTTACTACTTAGATGGAAGTCTGAGCTGTGAGAACTGGTGTCTGTAGCTGTGTGGTTATTGGAATGTGATCTTTTTTCTTTTCCTTTAGCAGTAGGTATCTAATTTTGCTATCGTCCATTTGCTGTGGAAAAAATCTGTAGGTTCTTTCAGGATTGGGGTTGGTGAGGAATCATTTGCAGTTACTTTATGTTAAAGCTAATGAGTTTCATTTGCATATCAGAAAACAGTAAGAGCAAAAACCTTAAAATGTGTGGTGAGTCAGCTTGGAAGGCTGTATCTTCTTGCCACACTAGTGGCTGAGTTCTCAGTAAAAAAGGTTCTTGGGACATCGTCTTATGAATCATATACTTTTCTGTCCTCCCTATGGGTAAGTTATTGCTTATAATTAGGGCTACTGAATGAATGATTGCTGACAAGGCAAGTGTAAAAAGCACGTAATAGAATCAAAGTGATCTTTTATTTCTATCCTAACAAAAGACATTTCTCCTTCCCAAAGTTTGACAAAACTGGATTGTATATCATTTGCTACTGAAATAAGTAATGGCAGTGATTTTCTTTTCTATTTGTGTCTTTATAACATCCTTTGAGGTAAAGCTATAAAAATAGCAGGACTGGACGTGACCATGTTACTCATCTCTTGCTCGTTGGCCAGCTACTTCTCAGGCAGTGGCAAGGGGGGCTCTGACACATGGAAATATACCAAGGAGGGAATTGCCGAAGCTTGGGATCTAATACCCTCACTGACACTGGAGAATGAAGCTGAACTAGAGTATTTGTCCCTCTCTGCTGGGTGAAGGATGCTCCTGCCAGGTGGGAGGGGAGACTGAGTCCGCCATGGGGTGGGAATAAAAATCCTTGCTACTTCTGCAGTGTGGGGAGGAAAAATCAGGAGAAAGCCACTTCTGCCTACATGGCATTTTGAGGCAAGGACCCTGATTATTATTAGTCAACGTGCCCTATTGGCATCCTCTGCCCTAAACAGTCCCTCAGCAGATTCCCTTTAGGGAACTTTTCTCTGGGTTACATCCTCTTCATTTTGCAATTTAAAACATTCCATTGTTTTCAGAGTTTCCCTTAAATTATGGGAATGGATTTACATTCAGTTGGTAGGACCTGTGTGATGAGTGGAGTGCTATTTCAGCAGTAGAGGCAGGCCTAAGTTCCAGGGGCTTTCCAAAAAATTGGTCTAATGTAGGAATGGAGTTTTCCCCGATTCAGCGGATTAGAAAATAATCTCTGAAGTTTGTAGGAAGCTGCTATAAACATTCATATGTAGGCTTTTGTGTGTACATAACATTTCAGCTCATTTGGGTAAGTCCCAAGGAGCGGGGGTGCTGGATCATATGGTAAGACTATGTTTAGTTTTCAAGAAACCACTAAATTATCTTCCAAGGTGGCTGTACCATTTTGCATCCTCACCAGCAGCGAGTGAGAGTTCATGTAGCAACTCATCCTTGTCAGCATTTGGTGTTCTCAGTGTTTTAAATTTCTGCTGTTCTAGTAAGTGTGTAGTGGTGTCTCGTTTTAATTTCTAATTGATGTGGAGGGTCTTTAAATCTATTTGAATCTGCAGACTGTCTTTGGCGAGATGTCTGGATCTTTTGCCCAGTGTTTTAGTTGGGTGGTTTTCTTAATTACAGGAAGGGTTATCGATAAACAGTTTTATTTGCTTCGTAAGCCTTGATGATATGAAAACAAACAGTGGGATGATTTTTTAAATTGTTTATATTTGTTTTGAAGGCAGTAAAATTGTAGAGATACAGAGGGGTCTACAGTCTCCCTCCCATCCTGTACTTCAGCCACTTCCCTTAGACAACGCTCAGCAGTTTCTAATGTAAACTTCCAGTGATACTGTATAGGTAAGCAAATGTGATGGACACTTCCATTTCTTTTTAAAATATATAGCGTACTGTGCTACTATTCTGTACCATTGTTCCGTACACCCTAAAGATCACTTGATACCAGTATACAAAACCCTTCCTCATTTTTTAAGATGATTGTGTAGTGGGGATGTGTGCAGTTGAACCTGACCCTTACTAATGGACACACAGATTGTGTCCAGTCTTTGCTGTTACAGTGCTGGAGTGAATTGCCCTGTATAAATTTGTCATTTTGTGCGTACATGAATTTCTCTGTAGGATCAATGGTCAGAGTATGTGCACTTGTAATCTTATATCAGATCAAACTGATATATTTTGTCTTAGTTTGCACCAGCAGTGTAAGTGCTCATGTCCCCATAGCCTCACTGACACAGTGTATTAGCCACTGTTCTTTGCCAGTCTGAGAGGTTGAACACACCCCCACACACAGTGGTGTCCTCTCGTGAGGCAGCACTTCACATTTAGGGGTTCTTGGTTTCCTGTTCTGTGAATTCTTTTCATCCCCTCTCCCATTTTTCTTGTAAGCCCCATCATATCCTTTCTTGGTTTTTGCTTATAATCCCCATCTACTTACCCTCATGAAAATTTTTTTCATTCTCATTAATTTTAAAGCAAAACCAAACCATACGTATTTTGGTTTTATTTGTATTTCAGTATACATCTCTTTAAAAATGACTTTAAAAATAGCATCACTCCTAAAAATACTAATTTTTTACCAAATCTTTCTGAAATGTCCTTTTTTTAAAAAAAAGTGTCAGTCACGGTCTAAACCATCCACACGTGACAATTGGTTAATACGTTTCTTTCCCTTGCCCGTGACTTTTGATATATAATTTCAACCATACAGAGAAGTTTAATTATAAGCATACCCATACCTATCATCTCAAGTCTACAAGTAATATTTTGCCATATTTTCTTGATATCTGTGTATCCATTCATCCATTTTCTTCATGGGTGTCAAAGGTGTAAATGTCTGTATTTGACTCAAGCTTTTGGGCATACATGTTGATGACTTTCTTGTAAAATCTACAGTGAAATGAACAAATGTTAAGTGTACCATTTGATGAGTTTGGATGTACAACTTGTAACCCAAACCCCTAGCAAGATACGGAATGTTTTCATCACATCGGAAAGTTTCTTGACCCAGTTCCTCCCTGCACCTCTCTCATCCCTTCTCCCTGTTGGGACTTTGTTTTCACCACAGATGAGTTTGGCCCTTGTAGAACTTCCTAGAAATGGAATCATACAGTATGTATTCTTGTGTAAATTTCTTTTTAGCACGTTGTAAGATTCATCCACGTGTTCGAGCTTTGTTCCCGTTCACTGCCACGCAGAGTAGTAGTCCATTGTATGAGTATGCCACTGTGTAACTTTCCACGTGGCAGGTGAACCGCTGGTGGGCAGTGGCTGCTTATCGTTTCTGGCTATTACAAATAAAGTCGCTATGAACCTAACCTCTTGTGCAAGGCTTCTTGTGGACCTGTGCTTTGATGATTTCTTTTGAGCAAGTATTTGGCAGAATATCCTGTGTTGTAAGGTTGGTATATTTTAACACATTGTATGCGGGAAATGTATTTATACGTTTTACGTTGACTGGTAGTAGAGCGTGTGATAAAAACTACCCGCAAACAATGTATTAAGCTTTATTAGAAATTGACATACGTCTTTCCAAAGCGGTCATCCTAGTTTAGATGCCACAGACAGTATGACAGTTCCAGTAGGTCTGTAGCCTCACCGTTCGGTGGTGTCATCCTGCCATTTTAACTGTTCTGTGTGTGGTGGGATCCCTTTGTTTTCATTTGGTTTCCTTGACAATCCGTGATGTTGAGCATTTTTTCATAAGCATTTGAGCCACTCAAATTTTTTTAGTGATAGAATGCCTATTTCCTATTTCTTTTAATCTACATGTTTTCTCTTCTGCAGGGTCTGGTACAGATAACACCCCCTTTTATTACAAAACCCTGGGTGCTTACAAAATCATAAGCAAGTAATTCAACATCATACTCAAGCACACCATATGACATTTTAGGTGAAATGTTCAAATTCAAACTATAAATTATTATACCCATATTATTACCCTACCAACCACACTCAAGCAGAGCTGCTGGGCCCTGAATTTTTCAAGAAATAAGATTAACCTGTAGAGGTTTGCACAACCTGAATTTTGCTGATTGCCTTTCTGTGATTATTGACCACTTTTCTATTGTTTGGTCTTTTTCCTAACTAGTTAGCAGGAGCCCTTTATTCCTGTAATGAACTACCTTTAAATTATCCATCTCCACTCCTAGTTTGTCACTATGTTTATTATGGTAGAAACTATTTTTATGTGAAGTTCTTCAATCTCCCCTTTTATGGCTCCTGGGTTTTGTGTCAGAATTAGGACAGCCCAGCAAAATGATTTTGGAAGCACCTGGTGGTAAGGCAGGAAAGCATATAGCCAAGGGAGACTGTAGAATATGGATGGATTCAGTGAGGCTTATGAGGGTCACTAAGATACATTTAAGAATAAGCTTTTCAAGTGATCCAGACTAATTTGAATCCCATAGATGACTGCCCAAGTATATTCAAAGACTTGTCCCAAAACGTACCTCGTTTTAATTGAAATAGAGGCTTACCCCCTTTCTGCCACTTGCTAATGAAGTTTGGGAATAAAGATCAAAAGCAAAAGAGAAACAGTTATTCACGATTTCCGACAGATTGGTGTAATTCCATTTACTTATTGTCCCCTCAAGAAAGCAAATGAAATACAAGTGATAATATCGGGCTAGTTTTTAACCTGTCCTAATGTAAAAGTAAGTTATTTGTGATAAAGGAGTATGAGTGATAGCTATTGTGCCAAAAAGCAGCACCCCAAAATGGTCAGGCAACCCCACTACCTGCCGACGGGAGCCCTGAGTGCTGGCTTCCAAGCTTGCTTACCTCCTAGAATGTGGCATCCTTTGTCATGCTTACAACTGGTGCCTGGCTCTTGTGATCAGTTTTATTTCTCAAGATAACAGGTTGTCTTTGAATAAAGTTTGTCATATTCTTAGTATAGAAATTGTGCTAGTCAGATACTTGATTTCTGACTTGGTAGACATGTTTACAGAAATCTCATACCAAAGTAATTAATGTGTTAACAAAATCAGCTGTCTGGAGTGTTGAGACTGATGGAAGACCTCAATAATCGACAACCCCCAAGCCAACAGATGTCTAAGAATCATTAAGATTTGTCCTGGGAGAACATTTGGGGAGGGGGGTATATTAGGTTATTCGAAAAGCATTTTGCTATAAAAACACAGCCACTTATTTCTGAAATACAATTGTTTAAAAAGGGCTGGCAGTCTCTGTTGAGCAAAGCTGAAGTGAGGCCATGGTAGTGGCCCTGAGAGCTAACTTCAAAATCTCTAGGCCAGCCCTGGCTGGTGTGGCTCAGTGGATTGAGTGCCCTTGGATTCCCAGTCAGGACACGTGTGGATTGCAGGCCAGGTCCCCAGTCCGGGGTGTGCAAGAGGCAACCGATCAATGTCTCCCACATCGATGTTTCCCTCTCTCCCCTTCTAAAAAAATAAAATCTTTAAAATAAAAAAAATCACTAGGCCATACCTGGAGTTCTTTCACAAAATAGTTAAATTCCCTTTGTTTCATCATACATTTTTATAACTTCACGATAAATAATGGACCTTAGGCTGAACTATAAGTGTAACTTCAAATATTCAGACTAGGGAAATCCTCAGAATGTATTTGGAAATAACTTAAACTGCATTTAGGGAGTTTAATCAACCTCTATTAGGTTAGATCTGTAGTGGTTTTGAGTATGAAAGCACTAATTTATTTAAACAAACATATACAAAAATGTTGCAAAAATAGAATTCCTGTATATGCCTCACCTAATTTCCCTACTGTTGACACATTGCTACAGTACATTTGTCACAATTAATGTTGGGTGCCACTCAGTTTCCTTAACCTCAGATTTTTTTTGGATGACCTTGACAATGTGAAGGGCAACTCTCAGATATTTCATAAAATGTGCTTGAGTCAGTTTTTCTGAGGTTTCTCTCCTGGTTAGACTGGGTTGTAGTTTGGGGGAGGAAGGACACAAAGTGTCATCCTCTCGACGTCTTATTAAGGATTCGTGTGATCAACATGACTCCCCAGTGACACTGAATTTTGATCACCTGGCCCAGACAGCATTTGCTAGGTTACTATAAAGTTCCTTCTTTAGGAACTTTAGGTGAAGGGATGAAGAAATACTAATTGGTAGGCACGAGATAGTCACAGGAATGTAAAGCATAGGGAATGTGGTATAAAATATTGTAATAACTAAGTACAGTGCCAGGTGGCCGTACTTATACTTTGTAAAGTATATGACTGTCTAACCACTTTACTATACACCTCAAATTAATACAAAATAATGTTTAATGTAAACTAATTGCAAAATACAGCTCCTCTTTTTCTCTTTTCATATTCTACTTTTTTTTGAAGCAAGTTATTAAGCATGACCCACATTCAACAAGTGGGGGGTTAAGCTCCAGCTTCCTTTTTTAAAAGATTTTATTTATTTTTAGAGTGGGAAAGGGAAGGAGAAGGAGGGAAACATCAATGTGTGGTTGCCTCTTGTGTGCCCCCTCCCCTGCAAAACGGGGGGCCTGGTCTGCAACATGTGTCCTGACCTTTGGTTCGCAGGCCTGTGCTCAGTCAGCCAGGGCTTGGCTCTCCCTTCTAGTCCTTTGGTCCCTATGTCTCTTTACGACAGTACCACAGTTTTGATCACTGAAGCTTTGTACTAAAGTTTTCAAATCAGGAAATGTGAGTCCAAGTTTGTTCTTTTTAAAGATTGTTTTGGCCATGTGGGCACGCCTTAAGAGTCCATATGAATTTTAGCATGGTTGCTTCTATTTCTATCATTTTTACTATATTGGGATTTTGGTAGAGATTACAACGAATCTGTAGATGGCTCTGGGTAGTACTGACATGTTAACGATATCAAGTCTTTCAATTCATGAACGTATTGGTATCTTTAATTTTTTTCAGTGATGTTTTGTAGTTTTCAGTGTAATAGTTGTCTGCCTTTGGTTAATTCATGCTGATGCTGTTGAAAATGGTGGAAAGCACAATTTTTAAGGAAGATAGGCTTAAACACTGAGTCAAGGTATTTGTGACCCAGCCCCTTGTTTCTGTGGGCTGCTGCACTAGTAACAGATCTTTAAAGCTTTAAAAAAGGCTGAACAGCTTATTTTCAGTTCAGAATAAAATCTCGTGTCTAATTACTTATTCCATCTTACAGTCTATGTTACAGAGCTGCCTGTTTGCAATTTAATTTAAAATTATAAAATAACTTATGCTAATTTAGGATAATTCCCCAAATTATCTGCAGCACCTAGAACACAGCTGGCATATTGAAGCCAAACATAAGGAGGATGAGAATCACAAAAATAAATATTATTTGAAGGGGAAAAAAGACAACAAACTAGGCTAGAATGATTAGATTTTATTTTTCCTTAGTACTCTTAAAACTCAGCTTCACCAAGTAACATGCCAGACTTCTGAAATAACAACTCTCCCCCAGGCTGTAACCCTTATACCATGGTTCCAGACGTTTCTGCCCCAGAATTCTAACCCGGTTACAGAATTGTATCTTCTGAGGTTCTATGTGGAATCAAACAATCTAGACACACGTAACAGTAAAAACAGCATACACCATTTCTTTCCTGCCCTTGCTAAGTGCTCTTCCCTCTCGCTCCAGCAGCACTTGTTGCTGAAAGAGGTCTGAGTACCGTAGTCTCCAAGAAGCTTATCTACCAGTTCTGATTCTTGGCTCAGAGCAAAGGATCCCTTAGTCAAGAGAGAATTTAACAAATATTCTAAGCTCATTGTTCTCTGCCATGGACATTAAATTATTTTACGTAAAACCTGCTTTAGTTTTGCTTTCAATACTTCCTATCTGCAAAGTCAAATCCCATCTTTAAAACTAACAATTTGCGTGATGACTAGGAGAGGAGGGAGGGGTGGGGAAGAGAGTCGGCTGGTTTTGTAGTAGGAGGCTCTGAAGAGGGCAGGTACTTACTTTTCAAGTCATTAAGGGGAAACCAAGCAAATGCTCCTCCACCTTGTTCTGATAATGAAAACGCCTGCAGGCCAGGGCCAGAACATTCTAGTCCTGAACCTACAATATATTACAACATTGTTTTAAGTGCATTCAGAATTTATATTACTCTTTCTTTTCCCTGAGTTTGGGTTCACAGTTTGGTAGAGATACTTTCAAAGAGGTAGTAGTAAGTGGGGTTGAAGAGGAAACAATGTTTATATCTAGCAGCACTTGGGAAAATATGTAATGTCTGTCGTTTTGATCTTAATTAACATTTATCTTTCCCCCTTGAATCTACAAATGTAATAGAGGAAGATGATCATTTTCCTTTTTATTTTCTAAGAACCCTCTCTTCTATCTATCCAGTATTACCACTATTCACAAAAA